ATATGTTACAACTAATTTATTGGATTCGTAGTTATGAATTCAAAAATTTGTTATAACGAATGAAATTCGTTTAAACGAATTATAAAATTTGTTATGACAAATTAAATTTCTTTAAACAAATTCTAAAATTTGTTTTAACGAATTCAATTTGTTATGATAAATTCAACAATCAAGGCCTATAGAAAAATATATGAATTCGTTATAAAGATTTGTCGAATTCGTTATAACAAATATAATTCGTTATAACAATTTTTTGAATTCGTTATTACGAATTCAACAAATTTGTTTTAACAGATTGAATTCGTTATAACGAATTCAAAGAAATTGTTATAACGAATTAAATTCGTCATAACAATTTCGACAATTCGTTATATCGAATTCAAAAATATTTTTGATTAGTCCTTAACGGGCTTCCGTACTTTTGAGCTGTTCGTTATCTTCATATTTCATTGTGAAGTTAGATGACCGCAAAGTAAATTTACCTTAGTAAAGAAGTTGATGATTTTTATCGAGTAAAAATTATTTTACTGGAGTATTTAGACATGTATTTAATTGTGGATTGTAATGACCACTGTTTATTTTTACTGCAGTCAAATCATTTTTGTCGAGTATCAGCATGACCAACAATTAACGATGCGGCATTTTCTGACGAATTAATGCTGTTTGCTTTAGTATAGATTACGAACACGTTTCTATATGCAGAATATTTTCATTGTGAAAAAAAAAACAAACAAACTTTTGCAAATACTGGATGAACACTCATAATGAAGCAGCTGGAATATTAGAGAAATCTTTTTTTTTATGGGAATGTTTGAAATATTTTGGTGAAAGAAATAGTTTTCTCTCTACGAATATAGTTGAACTTCGAAGTTTAGAACATCGATATCTCCAATACCATGGATATGTCGTAAGTTGGAACTGCTAACTATACTCTTTCTCCATGTACCTTAAAGTCATATATGGCTTTTTTTTTAAGTTCAGACTAACTAAAATTAAAAAGATCTTTCTATTTGCTTTATTACTTTTTATAAAGATATGACTTTCCTGTAAATTACACAATTTAAATCAATCGCGTTTCATAGATTTAGAAATTCAAAACAATAACCGATTTATTTACCGATTCCGTATTTAAATATCAGACACAGTTTAAAGTCAATTTAACCAGTTGCTATAGAAAACTATAGAAACGTGGGGTTATTCAAGTTCAAAATCGGTGAAAATTTTAATTTGAACGTAAACAACAAATATCATGTTCAACTACACTCAATCTCTTATATTTATTTTTTAGTTCAGATACGCCATATATAGCTTTAACTTCTACATGTTGAATACCGGGTATCTTGAATTTTTTTTCTCGGTCTCCGTTTCAAATTCGAAATATCGAGGTTTGTATTTTAATTCACTGTTAAAAACAATCTTATTTTTCTTTATAATTTTATTATACAGTTAGCTAAAAGAAATCATTAGTGAACGATTTTCAATTGAATGCAGAAGAAAACGGTCAGATTTATCTCTTTCATAATATTGATTCTTTGTAAGTAAGAAAAATCTTCGAAACATGGGGACACAAATAGCGTCGAATCAGATGCATGTGTATGGCACGCCATATTTACAAAAATGAGCTAAACACACTTTTACATTTAATAAACAAGGTTTTGTCAATTGTAACTTATAGTTTATGTAGCGTTAACTATAGTTACGAAGCGTTAACAGTAGTTAAGGATTTGTTTACCATAGTTTTCATCTGTAAAACTATATTTAACGGTTGTAAATTATAGTTTGCGAATGCTAATTTACGTTTATCTGCCTGTATATCTTAATTTGAAATTATAATTAGCATTTGTTAACCAAAATTAAATGTTGTTAATCAGAGCGATAGGCTATTTTATTACATGCCAATCATAGTTTATTGTCATAAACTATAATACACACTTGTCAAATATTAAATATAGTTTATGAATCTAAATATTGGTGAACGGTTAAATTTTCAATTAAAATCTTAAGGAACCAGTCGATGATTTACGAACCAAACCATAATGATTGTTAATATAGTTTGAACGTAAACAAATAACTTAGAGTCGTGAAATAAAGTTTCATAGAAAAAAGTACAATTTTGATTCAAAATTAGAGATTCTGTGGTTAAACTTTGTTTCGCAAATAGTCTTGTAATACGACGTTTTTCTTGAATCCGACTTTGAGAATGCTTTGCTCATTTAAACCAAACATTCATTTTTATTTCGTTTCTATATAACATTCTTTCTTGTATTCTCACTCAATCAAATAACTTGTTCATTAAATTATATACAAGTATTTCTTGATTGATACAATTTAGCAAAGAGGATTAATTTTCATTTGCTTCATTTATTACAATTTTGAACTCCGTTTGCCTTGTAGATACATGTACCCATGAGCAGAGAAGAGACACGTTTATTTATATTTATACAATTAGATCTAAATTATATAATTGCATTTAGCTTGTTTGCTTTATACTCAGGGACAGAGAAGATTTTCAAAGCATTAATGCATTTTCGCTATATAATCATTAGAGTCTTGCCCCAAAACCAGAGCCCCTGACCCCGGGACAATGAAATTCAAAATTTTTGAAGAGTCTTCCTTGCTCAACATAACTATGCATTTAGTTTGTTTACTGAATACCAAGGAGCAGAGGGGAAAAATTGCAAAGCATTTACAATTCATTTACAGTATAAAATAAATAAGCCCCCATGGAACCCCTGACCCTGGGGCCACGTCTTTCAAAGTTCTTGAAGAGGCACCCTTGCTCATCATAACTATATACTCATTGCATCGGCTTAAGACACAGGAGCAGAAGAGAAGATTTTCAAAGAATTAATGCATTTTCACAAAATAATCACTTGAGCCCGCCCTAACACCAGAACCCCTGATCCAGTGGCCATAAAATTCACAATTTTGGAAGAGGCACCCTTGCTCATCATAACTTTGCGTTTCGTTTGTTTGCTTAATACCCAGGAGCAGAGGGGGACATTTTTAAAGAATTAAGACATTTTAAATATATAATAAACAGAGCCCCGCCCTTACACCAGAACACCTGACACAGGGGCCATGAAATTCATAATTTTGAAAAAGGCATCCTTGCTCCTCATAATTATGCATTTAGTTTGTTTGCTTAACACTTTGGTAGAGGGCTTAATGCTTATTGCAATCATGCTAATAGTTTGACATCTTGGTGTTCAGAAGTAAAGAAGAAGATTTTTAAAGATTGCATTAATTTTGATGGTTTTAGCCCCACTCCTCAGCCCTAGAGGGGAAGAGGCCATGAATTTCACATTTTTTGTTCCCCTTTACCCATAGATGCTATATGCCAAATCGGTTGAAACTGGTTCAGTGGTTCCAGAGAAGAAGCTGAAAATGTTGAAAAGTTTAAGACCGACGCACGACGAACGACTACGGACGAAAACAGATAGCAAAAGGTCACTTAAGTGACTCAAGTGAACTAATAAAAATTTGAAAACTTTTTTAAAAAAAAAAAAAAACAAAAAACAAACAAAATGCATTATTTTATTAACCTTTCCAAATTTTTCGACTTCGAGTTTCGATAAGCTTTGTCTGACAAATTGGTTGAAACTGGTTCAGTGGTTCTAGAGAAGAAGCTGAAAATGTTGAAAAGTTTAAGACCGACGCACGACGAACGACTACGGACGAAAACAGATAGCAAAAGGTCACTTAAGTCTAATAAAAATTCGAAAACCTTTTTTTTTTTTGAAAAACAAAATGCATTATTTTATTAACCTTTCCAAATTTTTTGACTTCGAGTTTCGATAAGCTTTGTCTGAGAAACATGGTTTAAATCCACGATTGAGAACTTGTGAAATTGAATTAATGTGGTTGTTTTGTTGTGACAGATGCATTCATTTATGTTACAGTTGTTGAAATAATAAGTTTGGTACGGAAATTCAGGCATACTTGAGTCGATTGATTCATTGATTGTGTGTTGTTTTACGTCCAGTTCGAGAATTTTTACTCAAATAGAGACATCACCATATACCGGTGAAGGGCTTCGAATTTAGAATTTTACTCGTCACTTAGGGCCATTGAGCAGTGACAGTTCTTTATCGTGCCAATGCCTACTATGACACGGGGCCTCGATTTTTAAGGTCTCATCCGAAAGACCCGCAACTTTCACTTCAAAGTGTCGAGCGCTTAGCGAAAGAACAGTTGCTACCTGTTTTAATCGACCTAGGTCAGTCGCGGACGTGATTCGAAAAAACGACCTTCCGATCACGGAGCGAGCGCTCTACCGACTGAGCTACCGTGACAGTTACTTGAGTCGAAAAGTCAGTCGAAGTGAAGATCGTCGCCAAAAACTAAAATTACATGTACACTGTTTTCAGAATAAAAAAAAATATGGAGGTTTGCGAAGAGAAGCGGATGTAGTCTATGTCTGTGGGCTTCTTTAAAGAGAATATAACCCATTAATATTGATGCTCCAAGGCTGAAAATTTGTCGCAATAGTACGGATGTTACAAGGCTTCAGTGAGAGAATTTTGAACAGTCTTTTCATTTGCTAAAAGCAATTGCATCATTTTTCGTAAATGTTTTCAAAAGAAGAACGAATTTGTCTTGTACGGACAGGAGTCTGATAGTGGATGGGGCTTATAATCATTTTGTAAGCGTACACCGTTAATTCATTTCACATATCACATCTATATGTTGCAGTGTGTATATGCTCAATTTTGAGTAATTATGTATACATGTTGATTAATGGTTACGGGTGATGAAAAGCAAAAATTGTATCTTAAGAATGTCAATTAACCTTGCTTTGTGTGTATGTGTGATTAATCCAGTATTTTCTCGATAAGGTCACTAACTAAACTAGTATTATTCGTGTAAATTCACACTGACAAAAGAAGATGTTTCAAAGAGATATCGCTTTTACTTACCTCTTGTTCATGCTTTTTGCATCTTTGCCTTGCACGCCTTACCTCCCTTTGAACTTTAAGATGAAAACATTGATAAGCAAATTCCAAAAACTATTAACGATTGATTTATTTGCAATATATCTAACAATATATGAATGGATTGTAATATTTGTTAAAAGATCGATCTTTTCATACAAATAACAATTTAAAACACCTTGATTAAAAAAAAAAAAATTATTGTCATTCTTTAGAACAGACGGCACACATCAATTCTCTTCCTTCTACGTACGGAGGACATTTCAAGGAGCCACATCGAGCCTCGACATGATAAAAAAGGTAGCCATCTTTGTTAGATTGGCCACCGTGTAAGGTGTCTGGATTTTTGTCTACACATTTATATGTTGTTGCAGCTGCATGATTAAACCATCCGGCCATAAGATAACCCTCGTACTCTAAACTCCAACCTTTGTAGCATGTTCTTCTTGCTATAAAAATGTTATGCACTGATTGATTTCTTAAGATAATATTGATGGACTTCCAGTAACACTACATTTCCAGTAAAAAGTCCAGAGCCTTTCTTTAAGCGCTCTCAATAAATTGTACTTCAACGTAGTATTCATATACCTACACAATCAATGAATACCGGTATGTATTGAATGACAATGCCAAAACTTTTTTATATGAAAATTTCACTAATAAATGTCACATATCTAATTACGTTTTTTATGATTCTAAACAGGTCATAACGAGATTCATTGCATGTAAATAAAGTCAACGAAAAGATTCAAAATCAATACTATAAATTAGAAAACATAGAGCACAAGGTTGTTCAACAAAGATATTTTCGCCCAACCTTTGTACATCTAATATATACATGATACTTCGAACTCGACTCTGAACAAATCTGTGGGTGCATGTCACTGATGTCTTTTGATATTCATGAAAATAAAGGGTCCCCACATTCAAAACGCAGTTTTGTATGTTGTTTGTATCTATTGTTTGACATTTTCAGGTGTTGATTCAAATATTTAAGACACCAGCTATTAATATTATTTAATTCTTTAGGCTTTTAATAAAGGCTCAGAATTTGACGAGTAACCGGAACCACAAACGATCCTAACCTTATTGAGACTTTTTGTATAAGTACAGAAAACAAGGTAAATAGCTTTGATCAGTCTGTTGTTAACATTATATCTTTCATCTGGTATTGGGTTTTTACTCAAACTCTGGCATAAATTGGTATTCAAACGTATCTCAAGCGTACTGAAAACTGATCTAGAAGATGAATTTCTTCTCCTTTGCAACGTCATGGAACTCTTTAGCTCACTTCAAATTAAGATTAGCTAACGCTATGCCTTTGGCGTCGGCGTCTCGGTTGAAGTTTTTGGAGCAGGTCTGATTACCAAGTAACTATAAGACTTACCTGGACCAAACTTGCATGGATGATGCATCATGTGATGTACACTACCTGACTTGCTTCAGAATCTGACATATTCTTTCGGATGAGAAACCAGGTTAAAGTTTTTTGAGCAGATTAGAGTTTTTGAAACAAGTTAAAGTTTTAGGAGGTGGTCTCATTTCTAAGACACTATAACCCTTATGGTGACCAAACTTGCATGTATGATGCACCTAGGGATGCAAACTACTTGTTTCAGATTCTGGATCTGTCATTGATTTTTTAAATGAGTAAACAGGTTAAAGGAGCAGGTTTATTCCCAAGTAACTATAAGCTCTACCTGGATCAAACTTTCAAGGATGAAGCTTCTAGAGATGCACACTTCCAGACTGTCCTTTGATGCTGGATCTAGCCTAAATTTTCTAGATGAGTGATCAGGTTTAGGTTTTTGAAGCGTTTGTTCAAGTAACTTTAACCCTTAATTATGGTGACAAAACTTACCTTGATGATGCTTTTAGGGATATGCAAACTACAAAAATTGTTTCGGATACTTGATCTGATTTAAATTATTCAGATGAATCAACAGGTTTATTAAAGTTTTAGAGCAGGTTCTTTTCTATGTAACTCTAAGCAATACTTGGGCTACACTTGCCTGCACGATGCATCTAAAGATACACACTACCAAAATTGCTTCCGATGCTAAATCTGACTTACATTTATTTAAGCAGGCTTATTCTTGAGTAATTGTAAATCATATGATGACCGAAACTGCAGGGATGATGCATCTAGGGATGCTTCGGATTACGTAACAGGTTAAAGTTTGTAAAACAAGTCCATCTCCAGTTGATCATAATACCTGTGATGGACTGAAGTTGTATCGTTGACGCACCTAGGGATGCACACTACCAGACTGGCTTCGACATCTGAATCTGGCTTACATTTACAGGATGAATAAACAGGATAAAGGTTTTGGAGGAGGTTTATTCTTAAATAACTTTAAGTCATATGGTGATCAAACCTGCATCAGACATGCATCTAGGGATGCACAATAAGACTTGCTTCGGATGTTGGATCAGACCTACATTTTACTATGTAAGGAAAAGTTTTAAGATTTTTGAGCTGATCCCTTTCATAAAAAACTTTAAACCCTATACTGTTGATCACAAAAAAGCTATACGCCGTTTAAGCTTATTTTTACGCCATAAAAGTCAAATTTTGAAATTTTTTGAAATGCACTGAATTGTTTATATTGTGTGAAAAATCTAAATCTACAACAAATATTTTAGTTTCGAAGTAGGTTATTGGCAATTTTTTTGTTTCGTTGAGGTCACAAACTATTTGGATTTTACGTTATTTACTCGTATAAGGAAGAGGACAAAATTGACAAAAATTATTCAATTATATGTAATATATATAGAGCGTAAACCTGTCCCATAACAATATTCACATATTTCATTGATATTTTCATTCTACACATTATATCAACACATTGAGTTGGAGCAGACCTGCGCTCGATGACTTTTACTCAAAATATCGACGAAATATACATATTTTCTCTATAAATCATGGATATTGTGAATTTACGTCACTTTTCTGGCGTCATATCTAAATATGGCTCCATGGCTGATGAAAATATTTAATGCTTTGAAGTCTTTAGATGTCTCCCTGTTTAGAACTTAATTATAGATTACTCCGTCAAATTATAATGGGGGGGGGGGGATATTGGTCATTCAATCATTCTACGTTAAATGGACCAATTCAGAGTAAAAAACATGAAAAAAATAATTGTTTCAAATAGCAAAATGAACCTCATAATTCTCTAAAGGACATATCAGTGAACTTGAAAACAAAGAATTGTCCACAAATCTGGTATCATTAACTTTTTACAACAATTTCAAGATACCATTGATTTTAAGGTAATGTTACGGAAGTTAATGCTTGATCAAGTCTTATTATTTTTTTAAATAAAGCTGAATTTTTCCCAATTTTTCGTTTCTGATGTTCAGTAAAGAACGCTAAAGTATGATTCATGAAGTCTTGCCAAAATCCGAATTTAAATTAATTTTTCGGGAAAAATATCGTTACGGAAGTTAATTCCCAGCAATAAAAGTGAAATTTCTCTTCAATAGTTAAAATCAAAGTTTGGTTTTAGGATATTAAGTAAGAGTATGAAGCATTTCGCTCCCAAAATAATAAAATTTTTCATACCTACATACAAAAAATTTCCTGTATTACCGTTACGGAAGTTAAATTTTTAAGAGAGACAACTGTTTCTGTCAAATTCATTTTGTTATGTCGAAAATGTAATCGTCTCGTAACTCGTAACTAGAATCGATGATATAAGGTTCCGTGGTCACTTTCAGATAAGTTTCAGTTCTTTTTGAAATCTGTATTCTATGCGTGAAATCTAAAACAAAATCATTATACGGAAGTTAATCGATTTTAAGCGACATGCATATTAATTTGCATGAAAGGAGATCTCTGCATTTCTTTGCGAGAAGTGGTTTGTTTTCTTTTTATATAGGATAAAAGATATTTTTTAACATTCATTGCAATCTATTTGGAACGATTTTACTACTGAAAATTTCATCTTGAAATTTGTATATAAATGAAGCGACATTAAGATTTGCAGTGGAATACGTTTTTCAACATTACATTATGTTCATAACAAAACTTTAACTGCATATATATCGGTGAATATTTACAAAACCATGTGTGTATGTTAAGTCTAAGAGTTGAAATCGACCTTAAAATTTATAGCTAAGATATTACAACGGTAAATTTGTAAGCGACATAAAAAAATCTTAATTGGTCATGTTTTTGTAGAATGACCGCATTACCGAATAAAGAACTTTTCGCGACACCTTATTTTCGCGAGATATAAGCGAGACAATATTGAAAATTCAATATTTTTTGAAGATCTGTAAAATAAATAATAATGGTTTATGTTGGAAATAAAGACTTTCCTGATAATATTCAAAGTATTGAGCTTGAAATGTAGACTGTAGCAACTTTTGTTTGACCAAGTTGTGGTCATGGCTGATGTTGAAAAAAAAACTGTCGAGAGTGCAACAGAAAAAAAAAATGTAGTGTTGCCAAAATTTTAAAAATCTGTAAGACAAAAAAGAACTTTCAAAGTGTAAAGCAATAACTGATATACAATTTCAAAATTAAAAATGTTATATAAATCACATGCAGCATTAATGAGAGTCAAGTATCTGTGCATACCCAATTGCAATAATGTCAGGAGTGCAACAAGAGAAGAAACTCAATCAAGGTTTAGAACTAATCATTTTTATCCCTGATACCATTTTGAAGCATAAAAAACTATAATTTCTTTTCATAATGTATTTTAGAAAGTCTTTTAGGATGTAGTGATATTTTGTTTTTTCAAATAAAGTTTTACTGATAAAAAATTCTAAAACTTTTTTATCCAAATGTCTATTACAACTTCAGGAATTTTAACTAGAATGCATGTATAATATGATAATATACGTAAAAATAAAAAAAATTATGGGTAGTTGATTTATTTCAAAAAAATGTCAATCTGGTGGTCATTATTTTTGAATTCACACATCAAGAGTTGCACACTACAAGAATATATATATATATATATATATATATATATATATATATATATATATATATATATATATATATATATATATTTTTTTTTTTTTTTTGCTAAGAGACTTGCCTTAACAGATAAAATTCGACGAGGGAACTTTGTTATCTTTGATAATGTAAAAGATGAAGACACCAAACAATGATCAATCTCATAAATCCAGTAAAAAAAGCAAATCACAAACAAGACAAACCAAGGACACGTGGAAAAACCAGAAGCGGGTTCAGGTTCCCATTAACCATCCCCAGATGACCCGTCACACCCGCAGTGAGCCCTATGCATTGATCATGTAGGTATACGGTATACTCCGTAGTCAAATTTAGCATAAAAGCAATGACCTTTGTTTGATAATTCAAATTCAAATTGCAGCTCTCTGTTATTCAACCCACAGGTGCTAGAGGACAGGACCCCCCCCCCCCCCCCCCCGATATAGACCCTGGGCTTTTTCGATTTTTTTCTCATAAATTATCTTTCAATGATATATTTGTGATATAATCTATATCTACAATTCGAAAAATTGCCTAAAACAAACATTTTATAAAACCTACCCCACTCTCTCTATATATAGAGTGGGGTATTAATTTTTATAAAATTTGTTTAAGCCAATTTGCCGAATTGATGATATAGATTATATCACAAATGTGTCAACCATATATAATTTATGAGAAAAAAGTCGAATATGCCCGAAGGTCTATAACGGGGGGGGGGGGGGGGGGGGGGCTGACCTCAAGCACCTGTGATTCAACTTTCATTACTTGCTTTATGACTGCAAACACAAGAAATTTTATCCTCGATTGATCAGTAGTTGAATTATTACCTGGAAATACTCTCGATACAGATCTATTCCGTACCAGGCAAACAGCACAAGGGATATCATGGTCATGAAGTGAAGACGTTTGGCTAAATGACTCTGTTTGGTATTCTGCTCCAAACACATAAGCCTTATATCCATCAGTTCCATCCCTGTAGATCCCCCACTCTGGATCCCTCGGTAAACACAATGGATCTACAGCTGCTCCTCTGTGATCTTGATGTGATCCCCCTGTTAATCCTAAAAATATCAATTTATTTAGTTTATTAATTTCCATAGTAATTTTAAAAAAAAATCAGTGATAACTCATCAGCTTACAAAGAATATTAACATGCAATCAATGTACATTCATTGTAGGTTATCTTTAATGTTTTTAATACAAAATATTAAGAATTCCCATGAAAAATGTTTCAAAAAGTAAAAACATATACCAGGTATACCTCTAACTAGATATACGACAGTCAAGTTTTGTTTACTATTGGGAAGTATTGTTTACAATTGTAAACCAAAATTTAATTTAGGTAATTTGATACTTTGTTTCACTATTGCTATTATATTATATATATCCAAGGGCCTTTACGGTCACCTGAGTATAATACAACAATAATTTAGAGGATCCATAGAGTATGAAATAAACTAATAGATGAAGCTTTGTTACCCAAAAGCAAGAGAAATAGGACGATCAGGATCAATGAAATAATTAGTCTAACATTCAATAACAACTCATACATTAAATTCTAATCGATCTCCCATTTAGCACTATTACCATACATACTATTAACAAACTTTTAGTTCATCTGTTCTACTTTTAACCCTATATTGTGACCTCTCATATTGGCCTCTCTTGGTCTTTGAAGACTTATTTATAACTTATTTTTGTCTCATTTTTTATTTATTTATTATTTAAAAGTCTACCTGATCATTAAAACTATGAAAGTACATTTTGTATTATACAATAAATTTTTTGCATAATTCTCTTAACTTTCAAATACATTATTCACAGTGATTAATTATCAAAAGTGATAGGCAAAGGGGAATAACTTCTCTCAGTTGAATACAAATTAATAGAGCCCTGATCAGGATTAAAACACTTGACCAAATGGTCCTGATGTTAAAAAATCTGATAAAAATATCCTTGCTTATTAAAACTTTTATTCTGTTTGCCTTCGATATGCCAAGGAGCGGAGAAGATTTTCAAAGAAATTATGCATTTTCACTACAGATTCAACACAGCCCTACCCTAACACTAAAACCCATGTCCCAGGGTCATAGAATTTACAAATTTGGTAGAGGTACCCTCATCATCATTACTATGCACATAGTTGAAGATTTTCAAACAATTAACACATGTTCACTTTATTATCAATATACAAACCACCCCCACCCCGGCCCTGATTTTTAAAGATTGCATCAATTTTGGTGATTTTAGCCCCACCCCTGGGGGGACAGGGACCATGAAATTCACAATTTTGTTCCCCTTCACCCAAAGATGCTATATGCCAAAATTAGTTGAAATTGGTTTAGCGGTTCTATAGAAGAAGCTGAAAATGTTCAAAAGCTAACGCACGACGGACGACGCACGACGGACAAAAACGGATAGCAATGTCATCTGAGTGACTCAGGTGACCTAAAAATACGTTAAACACAGTGCACACTATGAAACTGATTACGACAGTAAATTTAATGCTTTTTTACCGGTACTTTATAAGTATTCATACATTGAATTGCTTTATAAAATTTAATACTTCGATTTGCTTGACTTTTTTTTAATTGCACTGTAAACTTACGTTTTCTACAGAAAACTAAAACTTATAATTATAATAATTCTTCTTAGGATTTACCCGAATAAACTATTTCTGCATTGGAAGGGCACGTTTTCTTCCCCCATCTTGTGTAAACTGTACTCCTATTATCTCTTTCTACAAGATGGAAAATATTCATTTCAATTCTATCTTCCTTCGAAAATAAGTTATCAACTTGTTTTTGTTTATGTCTATAATTCTTATGTACATTGCCCAGCAGTAAGATTTTTCGATTTCTACCTCCATTGTTAACTCCAGCTTCAACCTCTTTCTTGAAATCCTTCATAGATTGTTCCATGGTTTCGGTAAAGCTTTTGAATTGCCGCTTTAAAGCCTCCACCTGATATGCCCCTAATGCAGACGACAATTGTCCTGTCAAATATCCCTGTAGCATATCCTTACAGCTTCCGTTCTCCTCTCCCAGAGTAATGTGAAGAACATGAAGAAGTGGCACAAAGAAAATTACAGATGTTTTCTTCGTCATCTGAAAATCCATACAAACTTAAAGTCAAAACTCCTGTTTTCTGATTAACTTGTCAGGGTCATTTATTGAGTACATAATATGTTTTTAAATCAATCTGATAGTTATCGATTGGTTTTGTTTTCATTTTTTTTTATCTGCCACAGAAGTATCGATCTATGTGTGGTTACGCACAAGTGCTCATTGGGAAACGAATCGTTATTTTTAAGATTGCATATTTAAAACGTAATGAATAAAATATTTTTTAGCAAATGCTTTATACTAAGTATTAATTGTTTTTGTTCTGTCTTTTTTTTCAGATATTTCACAATAAATCACGATTTTATAAAAAGTGATTACAAAGGACTCCCCAACATAGGAGTTTGCATATGATATGAATGGAAATCGTTATGAGTTTCCAGATATTAATAACAGTGCTAAAATGATAAATAAAAATTGATAAAAATTGTACGGCTGTTCAATTTTGTTTTTATTATGCTACAGCTGCAAATGAAACAACGATATTATTTCTACATTTTGCATTTATTGTGATATCCATCATTGCGCCGTGCAGCATATGGACATCAGTATGTGACAAAGATTTGAGGTACAGTATATGGCCATAAGTGATTCATAATTGCATTTTTTCACTATGTATTTCATTGAAAAACCAAGTTTTGTGAAAACTTATTTTGAGGTCAATTTTAGCCCATGATTTTTTCACTAATTCATGCAGAATTGTTCAAATTTTCTTGTATAATAATGCTTAACAAAACGATACACTAATCATTGAGAATAATTTATTAAATCGTCAAGACGAAAATTTCTAACTCAAATTACTATGATTTCTTTAAAAATAAGAGACGTAAATTTTTAAATTCGCATTTGACGTGTGATATCACCACAGTGCCTACAGGTAAAATTATTTTGAAATTATATCAAGAATCTGCAAAGAATTCTACATTTTAAGGTGTTTTACTCATAAAAAAAAATCAACAAATAACATTGCAATAATATTTTAGGAAAAAAAGTCATTTTTCAATGAAATATATAGTGCAAAAATAAAATTATGACTCACTTATGGCCAGGTACTGTACATGTATTAATTAGTCTGTGAAAAGTTTACGTCTCTTTTGTCATCAGGAGATCATTGTTCAAAACATTCGTAATTATACTTTTGGGGAATATATTACATTTTTCTTTTAAATGATAATCCTTTATATCTGATTTACATATCGATGAATTCATTTATTTTCATTAACAAATGCAAAGAAAATCAAAGTGGTGCCATTTCTTTTTATCTTCAATTTCTTTGTGCTGATTTAAATACATAGGTTTTTGACATTTAAATAAAACAACAACTGTTAAACTATTTTTTCGATTTTAAAATGGAAATATTCAATAATAATTTTTCAAGTGTGTTTTCTTTGCACTCTATCTTGAAAATATACCTAAAATGCTTAGTTTTTTGCGACCCATTTTATTCTTTGATCAATCTTAGGTTGTCTCTCATTGTAGATCTTTTAAACAACAAAAGAATGGAAATAGTTGAGAATATCATTTTGGATTTCTGTAATGGATAAAGATTTTTTAAAACATATTTTATAACTCTTGTGTATGTTCACCTACCTCTACTATAATGGTTTCCCGAAAATAAAAACTAGAAAAGTATATACTTGTGCAGGAACAATGCGCAACTGGTAATATTAATATTGGATAACAGTCAGCTGTAATTAAATTGTAATTTAACACTGAAATGTCGCAAATGTCGATTTATTTAGATATATCTATTTTCAAGTTCTTTGTAACACATTTTAAATAAATCAATTTCTTAATCATTAAGGATTTACCAAGTCATTTTTTACTCAGCATCTAACAAATATTCATGATGTAAGTTTTAAAAAGCCTAACGTGTACAAATTTTGCATAATCCTATTTAATTACCTTTTTCTTTCCTTACATTTTTTTTCCATATAACTAGACAAAATTGCTAGCGCGCCACCAAAGAAAATTCATATTTAACTATTCATAAATTGCTTATGATGTATTTAATGTATAAACATGTTACTTAAGTCAAAAGTAAGTCATTTAATAAATAAATAAGTAAATAAACTGATAAATAAATATAATGTAACCATTTCGTAGAAAACATGAAAATCGTGCTCATGGTTTTCGGAGGAAAAATTTCAATTTTGTTCTTTGTGTTTGTGTTCTATGGTAGCCCATTTACAACCTATAAAAAATATTTTTGAATTTGATATAACGAATTGTCGAATTTGTTGTAACGAATTTAATTCGTTATAACATTTTTTTTTTAATTTGTTATAAGGAATTAAATCTGTTATTATAACAAATATTTTTAATTCGTTATAACGAATTCAAGAAAATTGTTATAACAGATTTAATTCCTTCTAACGAATTCTAAAGTTGTTAGCACCATTCTGCTTTGGGAATGTAATAATCAGATTAAAAATAATTGAGTAGCAAATTCAAATTATCAACGAAGAATGATTTTGTACTATAGAACACATCAATACACTTAAATAAAATCACAAAATGTATATTGTAAATGGATTTCAATAAGTTCAAAGGATGTATTCTTTTCATATCAATAATAATGAAATAACTAGATACTTATTGCCTAGGCAATAACAGGTCTTCCGTTTTCTTGATTCTTTTGTCAACTATTCTGAAAAAAAAAGCAGAAAATGCAAAAAAAAAAAAAAAAAAAGTTCTCCCAACATGGATCGAACTCAAAACCTTCGGGTTATAAGACCTGTGCGCTAACCACTAGACCACGTATTCCGATGAAGATGGAGGTAGTAAATTAATTGTTTAAGAATAAATAGGAATAAAAGCACGTGTCCTTTTGTTTGTTGCACAATCTAGTAATCAGTTTTGAATAGATTGAGAAACACGATTGGTGTATAATGCAAATGCAGATTGTCGGTTTAAAAAATTATTTGAGTTTGTCTATATTTGGAATGCATTGAATTAATCATTCAGAGCCTATGATGCATTAGAACTGCAGTGTCGAGACTTTGTTTACAAATATATGAAAATGTCGGATCGGGTTCGGATGTGACTGAATATCCTGAAATAATAGATTAAAATAAGCATCTCTGTGTGGACTGAATTAAATGTAAGTAGCATGAAGCAAAATTTCAGATATGCATTTTAGAAAGAAAAATGTGTCAATGAGAGCGTGAAAATTTACTTGCTAGGAAAAAATCGCTGTTTTCGACATTCATTCGATTAATATTAATTCTAAATAAAATTGAAATAAATTCCACATACTAGAGAAAGCAAGAATACTTGGTGTTAAAATATCATATCATATCAAAAGAATCGAGTGCTATTCATAACAGTTGAAGAAATAACCGAGAAAAGCTTTAATTAATTTTTATGTTCATCGGCACCTAAATTTCAGATACGAAAAAAGATGTAGTGTTTGCCGTTAACATTCATAATTTCTATATACTTCAGAGATTCACCGTCAAATTTTCAGGAAACTTTCTTTTAGGTATCTTCTGCAAAACCCCGAAATTTTATGTCGATCCGAGGTGTTGTATGATTTCTAGAGAAATATTCTAGGCTGATATTAATCTGATTTTTTTTTTTTTTTTTTTTTTTTTTTTGATTTTTTTGGGGAAGGGGAGGGGAGAAAGAGCAGTAAATTAATTATTGATTCTGACCTTTTGGTCAAAGGTCAAGGTCATCAAAGTTCAAGGTCAAAGTCAAAGGTTAAGATCAAAGGTCAAGGTCATGAGAAAATCCCGGAAATAAATTTACTTTCTATGTTTTTTTTTACTTCATCAAGACTGAAATTACTCCAAACAAATAAAATGTTCATTCTACACCTAAATTATTCACAACTGATCATCCCTAAAAGTTTCCATGAAAAACTACTCATGTTTGAAACAACGTCCGGGTTTTAGGCCGGCACTTCCAGTGAAAATGATTTGCATGGTTTTAGTCTATCTAACATCTGCATTAGCCAAACATTTCTGTAAAAAGAAAACAAAACTTGGAAAATTCACTTTTTTTGCACCGCTTCCGGTCACGACGGAAACTGACGGCAACGTACGATTTTCACATGATGTAGAAAAACTGGTGACTGACTATCAGTCCTGAAAGTTTTAGACTTCAGTCGTTTACTGGTGCTGAGCAATTAGGTGAATAAAATCTCAATTTGAGGGCAGGAAAATACGCAACCGGAAGTGAATTATACTAAGATGTTTGACGTCAATTTAGACATCTGCAGTCTCAATAACATATATAAAAATCATTTAAAGAACTCTATCTATAAGCGATATGTATGGGAAAATCCAAAAACCCTATGATGTAGTTTTTCTTTTATAACCGGAAGTTGTTGTTTTTTGTTTCGGGTGGGGCCAACACATATCAAAACTGTGACAAAGATACAATTATATGATGCAAGTCTTATTCCAAAAGAGAATAGTTGAAATTTTCGATTTCTTTGATCACTTCCTGTGAAAAGTTTGGTGTCAAAATCTCTTACCGTTTCTGAGATCTCACTCCGACAATTTCTCATTTTACGGACACCTGAACGCGCGACCGGAAGTGAATTTTATAAAGATTTTTGAGGTTACTCTAGACATTTGCAGTCTTAATAACATAAAAATCAGTTCAAATACGTCATCTATAAAAAAATATTTATGGGAAAGAAAAATACCCAAATTATGTAGTTTTTCTCTTATAACCGGAAGTTGTCGTTTTTGTTTCCGGTGGGACTGACATATTTCGAAACTACAAATAAAATGCAATGATGTGATGCATAAAAAGATTCAAAAAAGAAAAGTTGAAATTTTCGATTTCTATTATCACTTCCTGTGACGACCGGAAGTGACGGCTGACGCTCTTAACCCAAATGGTTTTGCCTACTCCTCAAGATCTATTACTTATATAAGTTTGGTGTCTTAATCTCTTACCGTTTCTGAGATATGACTGGGACAAAATATTTTTGAAAAAGACGGAAATCGGACATATCTGACGAC